CAACACAGAGCATTTTTGGGTGACTGGGCAGGTAGCAAAATGCACCCAGAGGATGAAGCAGTCACTGCCCTTCCTACTGGGCCTCACATCCCACTAGGCACACATTCTGGGTTTTCTGGGTGCTGCTGTTGCTGAGACTTGTAGAAGGCTTACTACCTGCCAACGAGAGAATTTTCTTATGGCTCCATAAGCCGGTGAAGCTTGTACAATAAGAAGACTCAAGAATGGTGAAACTGGTGCTTCAGTCCTTCCTGCCAAATGGCATGTGAGACCCAAGTCAATGGACTCACCCGCTTTCTCTCTAGTCACCTCCCTTTGCTCCTGACTTTTTGATGCATCAAAACCCACAACACACATAAAAAAAATCTTCAGACTGAGCCAGGGAGGCAACTAGAAGTGAGTGGAGATCATGTCCAGACTTCAAAACTGCCTCAAACACTAAAATCAGACTTTTTCTTCCTCAGCACAGCTCGCCCTGAGATTTGTCTCTCTACCTGGAGATCTGGAGAAGCATAGCAATTCCCTGAGGTCTGGCAACTCTAGCAGATACATCTACCTTGAAGCAATTTCAGCAGCACACGGAGAGATTTGTGGACCTCAGGGAAACAAAATGTGAATTTAGTTCAGTATCAGAGGCAGTATAGCTGTCAAAACCAAGTTGTTGGGCAGCATGAGCAGGACAGTGCGGTCGCCCTTTGGGCTTCCTAGACGCATTTGGTTGACTACTATGTATGTGATGATCAGAATGCTGGGCCAGATAGGCTTTTTTGGCTGGAGTCAGCAGAGTTCTTCTTATGTGCATTTTGGCATTGATGAAGTGGCAGTATTTTTCAATTTACGTAGGGTAAATATCAATAATTATTTCTTATAACTCTACTAAATGGGATAAGGGGATGGAAACCAGCTAACTTATTTACCCCCGTTTGGAAGTAATACTGTACAGCACAGAGTTAACTCCAGGCAAGTCTCTTGTGGCCTTTTTAAAATCTTGCACTTGGGCTATACAGTAAAAGGGTCAGGGAATGCCAGTTCTGCTGCAAGTCAACGTCTTGACGTAGTTCACCTGTCCCCCAGAGCAGGTAGTGCAGCCCATCAATTTCTAGGCATTAGCTAGATGTCTTTAGACTTCCATTCCTGTTCAGTTCCTCAGAACTATCTTAGCTTCATTTGAAATCACCAGCCTGATATTTTTCAAGTATTTTGAGCACAACCAGGAAAAACAAGTATGTTTTTTCTTTAGTAACAAATCAGCTCTCTTATGGCTATGAGGGTGCACAGAACTGGCCACTTGGAAAGATCCATCTAAACTGCTCAGATCCAGAACATGTAACAATGGGCCGCAATTTATGGCCATGTATAGTTCTCCCACCCACCCCCTTCCTCTTCTTCTTAGTTAATTTCAGAAGGAATCCAATGATTTTGCACTAATGGAAAGGTCAGTAGACAGGTTGCTGTCATCACCCAAGGGGTGCCCAAATATGTTTACAGTCCTCATATTCTTTCAAGAAGCTCTTTCTGTGTCCCCCTTTCCTCCATTGGGGCACATCAAAAATATCCCAATAGTACCTTACTTATATAGCATATAAAGTATAGGTTTGTGGAATTTCCCAGAAAACGCAGGTTCTGGTTAAAATATAACAGACTTTTGGAATAGCTTAACTAGGGTGATTGTATCAAATTTCATGTTTCCCTGTGGATTGCAGCTCACATTAGATACAAACACTGTGGTAACTAGTATTTCCATAGCATTTTTCTGTCCTACATCTTCGGCTCTTATTTTTTGTATATCTTAGCATGACACGTTCTCCACCACTCCTCCATCACACATGCCTCTGTATGTCTCTTTTGGCTCCCCCACCTCCCCACCCCACCCAGATCAACCGTTGTGTTGCCCGGAGCTTCCTCCTAGAAACCTGCACTTATTCTGAAATCTACATGACTCTAGCTTTGAGCAGCCTGCACAGTTTTATATTTCCTTGGGCTGTTCTTCATTTTCATCCTGTATTGCCATAGCCTTTTCTGAAAATATCACCTTGGGCTGTATTGATTAGTTATGTGTTCAGCTGATGGAAAAAGAAGCACAAAGGGGAGGAGGGGAAACTACAATCAGGATAATAAGTATAGACAGCGAAGACATTTTCCCAATGGGTAGCTGCATTGTTTTGCTGCAGAAACAGCAAAGAGTTGTTTTGTAACTTTAAAATAACCAATTTTGGGATAAATGTTTGTGGACTAGAGTCTACTTCATCAGACGCAGGAAGTATTGCCCTCAAGGAAGTACTGTTTTACTAGACGGACTTTAAAACCCATATTGCTCAGCCCTGTCAACGCATTTTGTGCTTTAACTTTTAATGTTTATGCATGTACTGTTACTAGAGTTTGGATAGCGGTGCAGTAGCCTCTTTTGTATTGTGACAATTACAATACAGCTTGCCTTGTGAATATATGGCTCAATGAGAAGAACGAACAGCATGCTGCTATATTTATTCATCACTGCAGTCTGGAATAATACTGATATGGGGAACGGTTAGCAGCCATGAAGGCCAAAGACAATTCTATTTTCATTTTTTGAATAGGCGAATTAGGAAAGCACGTCTCTCTGCTCTCATTCCAAAAGTAAAAGCATTCACTCTTGAAGAGGAAAGACCCATTTAGTTCTTTTACTGACATTTCCTTATACACCCAGCAAGATGCCCAGAGGCTGTGCAGAAATGGTAAAAAGCATGCAGTCCAGAGCAACCCAGTCACCAGATGTCTCTTGCCTTTTCCTTGAGAAGGTCTGCAGTAGCTCAGGGCTATTCAGAAACCTCGTTTTGACCACAGAGACGGGCTGCCAGTTAGTCTGCCTGGGCTTGTAGCCCAGATAGAAACTACACAGGTGTGCTGAACAAACTGTGGCGTTCACCCAGGTCATGAATATTCATATGCTATTTGCATAGATCAATGGGAGTGCTGGAGGGGCGGAGCCATGAGGTGTAAGAGATTCCGCAGCAGCAGGAGGAGTTTAGATAAGGTTTAGATAGGGTTTGGACATGGAGAATTAGAGTGTTAGAGTGGAGGTCCCCAACCCCCGGTCTTCAGCCTGGTGCTGGTCTGTGGCCTGAGCCAGACCGGGCTGTGGAGACAGACTTCCCCCACCAACCCCTACACGCACTCTCCCCTGCACAGCCCATTTGCACCTGCGTGTGAGTGTGCCTGCACAAATGCTGCACTGCCCTTTGCAAATGCACACAAGTGTGCACACACCCGTACAACACCGTTCCTTTGCACATGTGCACGAGTGCACGTGTACAGAGGGGTGTCCCACCTTCCTCGGCCGGTCTGCGGGGCTAAAAAGGTTGGGGACTGCTGTGTTAGAGAGTGAGGAGAGTTGTGGAGTTTGGACAGGAGAATGGTGGTTGAGGGTGGATAAAGAAGAATATTTGTTTAGGAGTTAACAATGTTGCTGGTTCTGTCAACACCTGTATCAATAAACATTTTCTATTTGGTTCTTTTAAAATGACATATGGCCTGGACATCTATCATTAATAGTAGGTATTGTTGATGAAATCAACTGGTGGCAGCTGAGGGGCATGTAGTGTGAGATTCCTAGTTTAAACAATCAGGGGCCACGTGAAATTGTGACACAAATCCTGGCAAATGTAATAGAAGATGTAAAAATGCTGGAATGTAGTCTGTTGTGTCGTATCTTAAAAGAAGTGCAAAAACTGATGGCGAAGGGAATATGGGTAGCTCTGTCATAGGTTTCCCTCCTGGCAAAAGCAGCCACACTTCAAAGTCACCTGCACAACTGTATTTTAAACAAAAAGATGTCATTTCTCATAGCATGTGATGATTTTGAAGCTGGTTATTCTCCTCTAAAGTATCGTACGTTTGTGGGACTGGAAAGAAAGTAAGAAACTGCAAATGCGTATTACAATAAAGTTTATATACAAAGGATTGCATGCAGTGGGGGGAGAATTCTGCAAAGTTTGTAGAGTGATTAAGCAACCAGCAATCAAGTATGAAACAAGAAAACAGCTGTCCCAAGGAATAGGAGTATTTGGATTTGGTTTGAGTTATAGGTAAACAGCATCTAGTCCTTGCTTAAGAAGTGGGTTTAAGTAGGGATGGGGAAGAATTTCACTTGGAAGTTATTTTGATATGAACATATTTAATTTGTACTTCCTGAGGTATCCTCTGAAATCTGCACTCTATGAAAATTGTGCTCACAGCAGTCAGTTTGAAAATATGCAGAAAATTGCATATGTTAAGAGAAGGTAAACATAAAAAATGCCTGCTAAAGATAGCTGGCCACGTGATCCCTCTCTCAGATGGGATAGAAATACTTATTTTATTGAGTTGAGGGATTGCATACAAAATTGTGTGTCTTAAATATTATTCCTACTTAGGATAAGCCCATTGCAATAAGTGAGAATTAAGTTAGCGGTGATTAACAAATCTCATTGATTTCAATGGATCTCCTTTCCATAGGACAAATGGTTGATATAGCCTAGTATAGTAGGAAAAATGCATATGAAGACAGAATGATTTTTTTCTGCAGATCTGTTTTAATTGCAAATTGCTAAGGAAATAAAAGAATGAATTCAACAGTGGGGATGCAGCAAATAGCCTGAAAACAATCCTACAGATCCACCCATACTTGCTTTAGAGGGCATCTTCCCCCACTTTCCTTTACTATATGTGCTAACAAAACAAAAAAAAACTCAGTGGAGTGTATGGCATCAAATGACATTCACAGCTTTCCTCTTGTGAAGATGTAAGTCAAGTATATTGCACCTCCTGTCTTTCTATCTGATATTATTTCTCATAACCAAATTAAATAATATGCATCTCAAGAAGCTAAAAGAGAAAGAAGCTTAAGGTCAAGCATATGGATACACTTCCTCTTTAAATTAATCGTTCCACGGAATTAGTAATACATTTAATTTTACTTTGGATTTCCTGTTTTGATAGGAAAACTAGTGTCAATACCTACCTGTATCAATCAGAGGAAAGGGAGTTCCTGTAGTTTTCAGGTCTGATATGTTTTGTCTAATCAAAGTGAACAATCAGGATGGATAGCAATTGCACATCTTTGTCCAGAATTAAACTTTTCAGACAACCAAGAAGAATGGTTTGGGGGCTAAATGCTAAATCAGATCATCTAATATATTTTATTATTCCCCAGAGATTCCTGCCAAAATTACTACATTATCAGACTATATCCTCAAAAATGTAAAAAAGATCTGTTCTTAATCTTTGACATATCCAGCTGTGTGTTGTCTTTTACTCCGCCAGGAGCTGCCAGGAGCAGCTATGAGGAGCAACCTTGGTCTAAAATATTTCATCCTGTGGGATTAAAAGGGTCATCAAGAGTTCTGAAAGCCCCAGACTTCTAAAAGCTGCACTTGAAAATTTTCTTGGCAGAGAGGAGGGTTGTCAAATGTTTCACAGTGTTCTGTTCTCCCGTGATCCAGATTAGCATCAAGAGACAGGGCCTGGCCTCCACCACCACCTGGAAAAAAATGCATATTTTTAAGAACTTTTGCTCACTGTGTTATAGAGCCCAATTCTGGACAAGGGCTATTGTTCTCCGATCTCTCTTTTCCTTATAAATATGTATACAGCTGTCTCTGTTTCTGGTTGCAAGTAGACAACACAGATGCAGCTGAGCCTTTTTCAAGCAATCCAGAAAGAGTTGGCTTGAGAAAACATGAGAAAGTTCTAGACTTGCCCCCTGCCTGTTGGGGAGAGGGTCTGCCTGAGTATGAAAGCTTTTGCCACATGTGGAGTCTAGCTACACTATTGGGCATCAGCTTTTGCCACATGTGGAGTCTAGCTACATTATTGGGCATCTAGAAAAATCAGCACAGAGGGACGTGGTGGCGCTGTGGGCTAAACCGCAGAAGCCTGTGCTGCAGGGTCAGAAGACCAAGCAGTCGTAAGATTGAATCCACACGACGGAGTGAGCGCCTGTCGCTTGTCCCAGCTCCTGCCAACCTGGCGGTTCGAAAGCATGCAAATGCAAGTAGATAAATAGGGACCACCTCGGTGGGAAGGTAACAGTGTTCCGTATCTAAGTTGCCCTGGCCATGTGACCACGGAAGATTGTCTTCGGACAAAACGCTGGCTCTATGGCTTGGAAACAGGGATGAGCACCGCCCCCTAGAGTCAAACACGACTGGACAAAAATTGTCAAGGGGAACCTTTACCTTTACCTTTAGAAAAATCAGGGTTCTGAATCCCATAGAGAAGCTCCACATAGAGCAGATTGATGACTGAATTATTCTAGCTTGGATTGGTCTAGATTACACTAAACAGGGTCTCCTTGAGATAAAGTATGCCATTTGGGGCATTCCTTATATCCACATGCAGGGATTGTCCACAAGGCACCTCAAGTAACTCTGCTTAGCATAATTTAAACTGCTCTTTGGGAAAGGAAGCTTCCCATTTCTCGAGAGTGTTAGCTGGCCAGCTGGCTATCCCTTTGGTGAAGCTGCTTGACTGATTTGAGAAAGTTTCCTTATGGCCTTTGGAGGGGAAGGAAGATTAAGGCTTCAATTTCTTTTTAATTGTTACTAACTGACACAGTGCATCAGCAATGCTCTTGATAGAACTTAAAAAAACTCTTTCAAAGTATCACTGATCCATTAGAAACAATTAAAAATAAATGCAAAACGTCCTCCCTCTGGACCTCCAAAGGTGAGTGGAAAGGAAATTCTGGAACTACAAAAAGCATGTGTAGGAATCGGTCAGGGGCAGGCTGGTTTACGATGGCACATATGTCATGTGCTCACTGAAACAAGGAGCAAACCAGCCCGTCCCCCACCCAGACCAAACTGCAGGACAAATGCTTGTCTCATTATACCTTGATTCCTCTTCAGAGGTCTTTCACATAGAGATAGTGACAGATTGGGAAATGGACCAAAATTCTTTCTTTCTTTGGACTTTCAAATTTACTCTTCTCAGAATGTATGAATAAAGCTACAGAAGACAAACATCTGTGGAAGTTGCCTTGACTTTTCTCATTTTCATAACGAACCATCAAAATGGTTACTCAGTGAGAGAATTAAAATATTATTTTATATATCTGCATAGTAAAAACCACCAAGATGGTTTTATTTAAGCAATTGAAATTGTGAACAACAGCAAAAACAATGTATCAGGAACTCCATTTGAACATTGTTTGCTTTTAAAAACTTGGAAGATGTATGTAAGCATGTATAAGTGGTATGACACAGTTCACATATTTTCTGTGCCAATATTGTTGTTTATTATTTCCTCCTAATGACTGCCCTTGGCAACATAATCTCTGCCTGGCTGAGCTAGTTGTCTTATGCTGTGCTGTGCTGGTTGTGTGCAGCACAACTCTGCTGCATTTTATATGAGCCAAAAGATCCATGTTCAGAACAGTGTCTTATTCTGCATGCACACAGCATAATCAGTAGGTGTATTATTGAATGCAAGGAATCAGGGGCTCATTATAACAGCACAGCTAGGGTATCTGATTGATTTTCTTCATTCTACATTACAGAGAGCTGTACTTGCTGTCAGTGAGGAGCTTGTAGTCACCCAATATCCTCATGAAAACATCATACAGAATACAGATGATGTTTCTATAAGTGAAACCCACAAATGTATCCTCAATGTCTAACAGGAACTTTTCTCTTATGGGTTCCAGCTAGTCATGACTTCCTCTAGGTTATTAGAATCTCTTAGAGGCTCAAACAGCCACTCCTCACTTTAAAAAAATTGTGTTCCAACAAGCAAACAGTTGCTCCTGGAAATAACTGAGCATGCCCTCTCCTTATTGAGTTGTCTTGGACCTTCTCCCTTTACTTTATGTTTTAATCTAAAAAACTAAATACTTCTGTGTACTTTATTCACAGTTGCTCTTTATACTAATGCTAGAATCAGAAGGGATACAGCAACAGCTCTGGAGATGAAACAGACCCACCCGAGAGTTAGAGAAGATACAGTATGTGCGTTCTTGGACCAGTCTTGAGATGAGTAGAAATTGGTCCCCTCTTCCCTCCTTTGTAACTTTCAGGACTACTCACAATGGCCCCCAACCCATCCAGCACCTCCCAGAAAACAGAACTGAACATGGATGGCCTTGTATAAGGGAGTGCGGGAAAGGAGCGGGAAGAGAGGTGGGAAGCCTAGCTTTCCCGTGATCCACAGAGCATGAACTACATGTGAACCTCCAGAACAATTGTGCTTGCATAGGGCAGAGAAGAATTGTGCTTCCTGCAGAAAAGAGAAAGGAAGAAAAAAAATAGGAGGTGGAGGGAAAAGGCTGGAAGCGTGAGGCAGGCATTGGAATCAGTCAAGGACACAGAGGGAACAATGGCAGAGGCAGAGGGCCTCCTGGCTTGAGACTCTGGGGAAACAACTGATCCTAGCACAAGGCACTTGCTGGCTGTTTCCCCATTGCAGCACATAAGCTTGTGCGAGGCCTTTGGTATGACACCCCAGGAGATGCTGGATAAAACTACATTTCTGTAAAAACAGTTGTCCCATCAAAAGACTCTACTAGCCATCTGGGGCTTTCAAAAGGCTTGCAGTGCCTTGGTCTCCATTGTGCCTGCCCTTACTGGACAGTGACTTAGAGAAATAGCTCTGTTAATTTTGTTTCAACAAAAACTGAAGGAAACTTACACTTCCCTGTTTCTCGACCATGATATTCCTTAGGGGATATTTTCAAGCATCAGGCAGTGGCAAAAAAATGAGAACCACCTTATGGTAGGATGACAAAAATGCTGAATAGAGAATTCGACCTGGTTTGCTAGAAGTATTGTGGGAGGGACATTAACAGGTGTGTGGCAGTTGCAAGGTTATAATAGCATAATTACCTATGATAATTCCTTCATGAGTTCCAGACATAAACATAGAAGCCGTTTTTGAGGGCAACTTGAAGTGCCTAACTGCCAGGAATGGAGAGAGGCGTTTTTTAATCACGTCTAACTTTGGCACCGTGAGGTGGTTTTTGCTGGCTGCTGTCCGGCCCTCTGAGGAAAAGGGAGATGGGGAACGCTGGCGTGGGGAGCGAGGCATTGCTTTGGCTTGTTCAGGCTTCTTGATGAACACCCACTCATATCGCTCCATTTCAGGGCACACCTTTCAAAACAGACAACATACATGTGAGGCCCATGCTAGCTTAGCTTATTCCTGTTTGTTTTCTTAAGGTAGCCCATAAGTAGGAGGCACTGAGGCCTCTTGATGGTACTCTCTTTGACTGAGCTTGTGGAGACCTTGATATGAACACACAACACACTGTGTTTCGTAAGTGGTAGCAGTTGACTGGAACACTATGTTGTGAGAAATGGCTGGTCTAATAATAGAATTATAAACTCATAGAATAATGAAGTTGGAAGGGGCCTATAAGGCCATCGAATCCAACCCCCTACTCAATGCAGAAATAGTACAAGTTCACATAAAATGACTATCTTCAAGGGATAGGACCCATAAAAATGGATTCAAATTATGAGAAAGAAAATGTTGTCCAAACATTAGGAAGAACTTCTTGAAAATAAGAGCTATGTGACAATGGAATGGACTGCCTCAGAGGGTGGTGGATTTTTAACAGAAGTTAAGCAGCCACCTATGGGGAATGCTTTATCTATGGCACTGGTTCTTAACCTTGTGTTACTCAGGAGTTTTGGACTGCAACTCCCAGAAGCCTTCACCACCAACTGTGCTGGCTGGGGTTTCTGGGAGTTGCAGTTCAAAAACATCCGAGTAACAAAAGTTAAGAACCACTGATCTATGGCTTTCTGGCCTTGGCAGTGGGTTGGATTTGATGAGCCTCGGGATCCGTTTTAGCTCTAGGAGTCTATAATCCCTTGATTATACAGAAGTATAGCACATAGCCCTCTCTCAGAGACATAGCCACATTATGGAATATGTGCAGAAATATTTAACTTGTGCAGAACTGGGATCAATGCATTCCAGGATTCACCCAGTGATTTTTTTAAAAACCCTCCTTTTGTATGGTAATATTGCTGTTGGTCACACCCATTGGGAAACCAATAGCTAAAAGGTCTACAGAGAGATATTTTTGAAGTCAATCAATTCTTCATCATGGGAAGTAATTTTAGACTCACAGTGAAAACAAAACATTCTCCAGTGCCAAAGAAACTTGATGCACCCCCGTTTTTTTTCCTTTCATTCCAGTCAGAGGACAGAAATGCTCCACACACCTGTGCAGGAGGAAAGGCAAGCAATGTGAAATTCCATAATATATGGTTTCAAGGTATCAGCCAAAGCAAAAGGAGCCAATAGAATTTATTCTCACAGAAGCTTGCTTTTAAGCTGTCTGAGTCAAACAGCTTAATCATAATGGGATAGGATTATGCGTCCAGAAATATGCTGGCAGAATGTAGCAAAATATAGTCTATTATCACAGTCTTTTTGACATCAGTCATTCTGACTGAAGCTTGCATTTCCCACCACAAATCCTGCTCTTTCAAAAATATTATTTATTTTGGTAAACACTGAAATATAGAAATTAGAATTTAAAATGTGCATAAATACATTTGTTTTTAAAGCATAGGTGTAAATTCACGCATCTTTGGTGAGCTGTCTGATGCTTCTCCTTCAGCAATGAAGGTTGGAATTCATTTTTAAACCAGTGTGTATACAATCTGGTATATGGTTTCTCATCTTTTCAGTTCCATCACAGTCCCAAAGAGGAAAAAACCCACCCACAGTCCGCTATGATATTCGGAAGAGGCTTACTTCCCCAAGGGTGGTTTTTAGCAACAATACAGTTGGTTCATAGCCTTCACAGCAGGAGTAAAACCTGTAAGTAACAAAAGAGGAAAGGAAGTGAGCTGAATCTGGAGCAAAGGAGAAGGAAGGCAAACCTGAAATAGCATTGAGAGGGAAAGGGAGTAGAACCGACTGGAAGCTGTTGCCGTACCACATTCTGCTTTTAGTGCACTCCTAGCAAACCTAGGGCAAGGAAAGCAGCAGGGTGGAAACAGAAGAGGCACCGATTACCCAGACTCATTGCATGCTTTCCACAGTCTTCCTGGCCTAAGACCATTACCAAGACATAGCAGAGATGCTCCACCTCATTTAGAACAGGAGAGGGTAACTTGTGGCTCCTCTGTTGAAAGGCTGCGGTCACCAGGGATGTATTTGCAGGCACCAGAGACACCCCAGAGCCCTTTAACATCAAAACACACACACAAATACAAGTATGACCATATAATGGCCAAAGAAAGAGATCTGTAGCAGCAGTGGTTTTCCGCTTCTAGGCCTTGGAGGTCAGGATCCTTATTTCCACCTACCCACCCCACCCCGTCTAATTCAGACAGGTTTTCCAGCCATTTTCAAGCCTGGAAGGACTTGAATTTGGCCCCAGGCCCTCAGATCATACCCACCCCTGATATATTGTTAACTCTCACCGGCCCTAGCCAGTATAGCCATTGGTGAGGCAAAAGGTGAGTTGTATCCTTGGAATACTATTTTTTAAAATTTGACAGGGGGCAATGGTGTTTATGCTGTTTATGAGGTTGTCAGTAAAGGCTATTCCTTAACATGGGTGCGGACTGAAGTGTGGACTGTTCTTGTTTTATACTGCTACAACTATCCTTTCACAACTCACATAGCCAAATCACCCTGAATGTGTAATGTGCTCCTTCTCCTAGATTTATCCAGGGAGTTCTGGGGAAACATTCAGTTCTCTGACCAGGCCCTTGCCGTGCTCTTCTGACTTTGGTTTGGGGCCCCAGGGTGTCTTGCATTCTCTTGTCTGTTTTTGGGGTGTACATGCATGAGAATGAGTGTATGGAAGGGAATCCATTCCTTCAGGATCCAATTAATTGTAGACGAGAGGAGAAGATACAGTGTAGGCTTTTGCTGGCAATAGTGCTAGTGTAAAAGAGGTTGGGAGTTTGATCCCCCAAAGTGGCTTGTAGGGGAAGAGCCAGCCTGTGTGGCCTTGGGCAAACTGCACAGTTCTGGGGCACCCCCAGAAGAAGGTAATGGCGAACCCCTTCTGAGCAGCTTCTGGGGCACCCCCAGAAGAAGGTAATGGTGAACTCTTTCTAAGCAGTAGCAGCAGCAGTAGTTGTAGTTAGTTGTTATTGTTATTATTATTAACAAGAGAAGAGAATGGTAAACCACTTCTGAGTACTCTGTACCTAGAAAACCTGAAAAGGGTCACCATAAGTCAGAATTGACTTGGCAGCCCATGATTATGATGATTATTATTATTATATACACTTAAAACATCTGGAGGAATAGCCCCCTGTGGCAATTGCCGATAAGCTCTCCACACATATGATTGTTATATTAAACAGGCCCCCTGTGCAAAGCCATCAAGAAGCAATGGAAAAACCACTCCTTTATTTTTCTCCAGTATCGTTCAGGGGTATATACTAACTAGCAAAGAAGACATTTGGAAGCCATAATTTTTGCTCAGCGAAGCAGGTAATTGCACAGATAAAACCTTAACACATCATAATCTCCGAGGCATACACAGAATCTTGACACAGATAGATTTTGAAGCCTGAAGTCAGACAGCTTAATTGTGACTCTGAAGTGCTAGTTCGGATGTGGATCTATCTTAACTATTGGACACCCCTGGCTGTTTATACCATGAGGGAGCTGTAGCTGTATTTCTATTCTTCATCTCTCAGAAGGATAAGGGGAGCTTCTGTCTATCTTCCACCTCCAGGGCTCTGGCTAACATGTTTTGTTGGTTTTATAGTATACAACTAGGAAAACAGACAGGAAAATGCAACATCTTTCCCTTTCATCTTTGTTGTACTTGCATCAAAGTCATGATACAGTTGGTTTGCCAGCTTGCCTCCAGTCTGTTTTCTGCCCCATTGTTAGAAGATTGCTTCCTGAGTGGCAGCATAAATCTTAGAGGTGAGAAGGACACAATGCCATTCCATCAGGCTGCAGCCATGAAAGAGATGGGAAGTGGGGTGACTTCCATCAACTCTGCTGAAACAACATCTCTGTTTGACTCCCACTTCCCTCAACTATTGCCCCCCAGGAATCACTCCATCAGGTTTCAGCAAAGGGGAGAATGGGGCTGCAGGGCTGTTCTATGAGCTCTGCCTAGAGACCAGCTCTGTCAGGCCCTCCCTCTTAAAGCTGCCATGAAGCAGTGGCCATCCCCTGACTTGTTTGCTTTCAAGCTGGTCAATAAAGGAACACCACACCTTTAAGAATTGATGTCCAAGCATGCTAGTGTTCCTTTCCCCCTCCTCATTCCCCTTTCCTTTTGTATCATGGCTGCTGGGCTATACTCCTGAACTCAGAGACTGTCTTCTTTTTTACCGATTGCAACCAAGTCACTTTGGGACCTTTTTTTAGTTGAAGAAGAGACTATTTCTTGGAGGTTGTTTAATTTTTTTAAAAAACAACAACAACACTGTTTTTAAGCCTAGAAATTGGTTTACAGCTAAAATTCTCCTGGGTATTGCAAATCTCAGTGTCATAGGTCACCATAAAGCATCCTGCAACTACTGATACCCAAAATCCTCTAATTGCCTCCACATTAACATATTTGTCATTTTGTAAATTTACAGTTGTCAGACTCATTGAAACTCCTGAACAGCCTGTCTCTGCATCTGATTGCTTTGCACACCTTTGGCTGTGCATCTGCTGAGCTGTATCATTCCAAAGGAAAAGACGAAACGATAAGTACTAGGGTACTCTCTACTCTTGACAAGATGAATATTTAGAAAACTCAAGAGCAGGAATTTTTCCACAGCATTTTGTCTGTGTTTCTTTCTGGGACAATGGACAGACTACTGGAAACATAAATGTTGACATTGGTAAGAAAGTTCCCACTCACCCAGAATGGGATCCAAGTTGAAGTGAGTTTATGCAGTCCACACCAGAGCCTGGAAAAGTTACTTTTTAAAACGGTAGCTGCCAGAATCCCCTGGTTGGTCACACTGGGGTGAGGGATTCTTTTATTTGAAAGAGTAACATCTCCAAGTTCTAGCCTGCACTGATCCCATTGGTCTGCATTTGTTTGCTGTGCAGACAAGAGACCAGCAGCAAACACAGATCCATTCCCACATAAGGAAACTGTTAGGATCTGACACACCCCAGGAAAACATCTCCATACTTCAGAATAAATGGGCATGTCCTCAGGTCATTCCCTCCCCCCCCCCCCGGGGAGATCTAGAGGCAAGGTGCTTTCATGCACTTCAGTCATCTGTGTGATGAGCTTCCATGTGCATCCCTCATGAATACCTCCGCTCTGAGTGCAGGAGGGAATGACATGTTTGATGCTAATCACATCTCTCCTAGCAGCTGGCCCCAGAAGGCCAGCCTTAGTAAAAATGACCCCAATGTTTCTCTTGAGCATAATAGCCTGCTTTGTGAGTTGGCTGAAACTGGTATGGCACTCTTCAGTTTTTATTTTTCTCTGATAAAATTCTGAAATCATAAGATAGTTTTTGCAAGTGCAACCTTACCTTTGCAAGCTGTACCCATCTTCAGAAGTTGAGAATAAAAGCACAGGTGAGAACAAAGAAAATCTTTCAGGGATCCAGGACCACACAATGCGCATTTCCTGGATACTGACAATGGCAGATGCAAAATCTTGTGCATTTACTGTAAGATGGAATGGTTGCCTGTGTAGCAGAAGAAAGGTGGAGAAAACCATCAGTCCATTACTGTAAGAACGGAGCCTAACCTTTAGGAGAGCAACCTGATATTGTGGTTAAAGTGTCAGATTAGGACTCCTGGCATTTAAACTTCCACTTGGCTAAGTAGCCTCAATCACAGAGTTAGCACTGGTAATTCACTATTTGAACATCAGACGTACCTTGAAAACACTATTAGGGTTGCCATAAGTAAGTAGTGAATTGGTGGCATGTAACGACAACAAATGTCTGGCAACGAATCAAGGTCCTCTTTGAAAGAATGCACCTGACTGAGCAGAAAGGAGCAAGCCCAGCAAAAAAAACAAAAAACAAAACTGCTCTTGATATGTTAGATCCGGTGATGGCAGATCAGGAATGGATAACCCATGGCTCTTTAGATGTTGCTGGATGGTAACTCCCATCATCCTGATTCCTTTGCTTTGCTAGGGCTAATAGGAGTTGGAGTCCAGGAGCATGAGGAATGCTATAAGTTGCCCAATGCTGCAATACCAATACCACTGAAATGCAAAGTGTAAGATCTGGAATAATTCCAGGTGAGAGTTTTGCTTACACTAAAGCTTAAACTATATACAGTGGTGGTAGATCCATTAAAGTTGCTATGTGTATCTATATCTGCCTCTGTGGGGCTGCCTGATACAAAGGGCAAAAGGAATGCATAGGTGGCAGGAAAGTCTGCACCTTCCTCCTTGCAGTAGCTGACCTCCTTTCAGTCTTACCACTGAACCGTTTCCATCACAGCAGGAGAGACAGTAGTTCCAGTGACAGGGAATTGGAGGTATGTCTTCGGAGGACTCAGGTCCCCTCACTCATGCATCCCTTTTGCTCTTCAGCTCCCAACCCTGTCTCGAGTATGGCTAAACAGCTTTGCTGTTTGCACATCAAGCAGTGGTGCCACGATGAACTGTATCCCCACGCATATTACTATGCTCATCTCAGTCGTACGACATGAACCAAGTTCATCCTCACGTTGTACTTTCTTTCCGAAGTGCATGTCAGGCCAGTGCGGTCTACTGGCTAACAAACCTAGTACAGTAAATGTACAGGAGCTGTCTGTGAACTGTTGCTCCTTAGGTTTTGTATTAGATTGAGGCATCAGCATCACCAAGGGTGAAACACAAAACATTTTGTATGAAATTATCTTAGCAAGTTTCTTAATGAAGAAGGGAGAGATAAAAAGAGATAATAAAACTGCCTTACAAAATTTAGGGATCAGTTTTCTACCTCTGAAACAGCTCACTTGTCTTCTTCCTTAGCCCTTGCTTACTAAGGGATCAGTTTTCTACCTCTGAAACAGCTTGTCTTCTTCCTCATCCCTTGCTTACTGAAATACCTGCTTCCTTTGACAGAACGGTACTTTCTCCTTCAGAGGCAGTATCTCTCACACTTGCACTTAAACAAAATCAACGTCTAAGCGTTTAGTGTTCATCTGTAGCTGTTGGAATGTGCCTGCACATGACGCTGCCAGGAAAAGCATGTGTGTTTAAGAGCAAGCCCCACTGACCTGCATTGGCTCAGAATCGCCACAAAATGCCCAGTGGCTAGCAGTTCTTACTCAGTTCTTACTTGAGATGAGATAGGAGAAAATCAGTTGAGGGCTTAGAGAGAAAGAGAAAGACAGGAAGAGAAACACAAACCACACTGTGTGTTTCCTTGGCTGTTTGTCAGCAGGTCAGGATCCCTTTTTTTTTTTTTTTTTGGCCTGCCATTCCCAGATACCCAGCCGGCAGAGTGAGTGGTGGGTGGCCATGCTGGCTGGTGGATTCTGGGAGGGGTAGTTCAAACAAACCACTTTTCCCAGCTCCCAAAGAGAGAACAGGGCAAGTCTAAAGCCATAGTAAATATAAAAGTCTTGTACCTGTGCTGCACCACAGTGACCCCTTTTTCCACAAGTGCCTTCTTGTTTGCCATCTGAAGGAGCCAGATTTCTTTGCGAGAGAAAAGACGGATCCCAAATGCCTTCTCCAGGAGCTTTTCGGCAGTCATGTGGTTGTGAATATCACACATGAAACCCTGCAGGCTTCCCTTGACATCAGTCACCTCCAGTCCTTTGGAATCCACTGAGATCTGGTACTGCCTCAACAAAGCCAGAGCAATTCGGTAAAGGACCTTCTGTCCCTCCAGAAGGTAGACATCAAAGATGCGGATGATGTAGTCAAAGGGCAGGTCATTAAAAAGCCATACCAGCCACTCAGAATACACCTCAAAGATGTTGTCGGATGAACTTGCTATCAGTCGGTGGGCCGCTGGGCAGTGCTTGTTGGCAAGGTCCCCAAAGGTCATGCATGAGGCCTCATGAGTGAGGAAAGAGTGGTCTATGTAGGAGGTGTGGGGGGCATTGCAGTAGAGGAGCCGGCAGGTATTCTCAAAGCACTGGGCCTCATCTTGGCAGTAATGGAGTATCAGGGCAGTCACAGCTGGAAGCAGGGGACAATAGGTGATGTCCGGGTACAGGTTGGAAATGCATATGAGTATCTTTTTCACCACAGCAACCCCTTCTTGGGTGAGGCAGTAATCTGGCATGATGCTTCCTGTCAAGAATTCAGGCAAGGGATCAAAAGTTTCACTCTGGTTTCCAAATAACTTGCTGGCAACATCCTTGTAGACTTGGACATCAGGGGTCATGAGGCGGCAAGGTATATCCTGGATGACATGCTGGTAAGCCTGTGCCCTTAGAATGTGACTTCTAGCCCAAAAGCCTTCCCTTGCCAGCTTCTTCAGTTCTTTGGTAGACTTGCCAAGGAGCTCTTCATGAGTGTTCAGCTGCTCATTCAACATGGGAATCTTGTTTTGGTCCACATATTCACTGCAGCCTTGGTGGGAGGTTCTATCACCCTCCCACATCTCAACCTTGGAGGAAAATTGCAAGAGGACTTCAGGCGGTGTGGCTGTCTCTGTAAACAAAGACATTCTGTTCTGTATGATTTAGGTCACCGTTTGACATATTGCTTGATTCTGCCTGATAACGATGGATACAGAGTTGTAATATTGTTATCAACCTTTCACAGCTGACATGTACAGACAATTCCCACTTAAAATTCAGAAATAATCACTTGACCCTTATCACAAGATTTACTTTGGTGCAGCCTTTTTGTCATTTAGGGATCTCTCTCTCTCTCTCTCTCTCTCTCTCTCTCTCTCTCACACACACACACACACACACACACACACACACACACACACAATCTTTTCTCCATTTAAAACAGAAGTACATTTAAGGGTGGGAGCTTAAATGCATTAATACATACTGGGTGATATGCTATTGCTTAGCATAGTAAGTGACACCTAGAGTAGGCCCATTGAGTCAATACAACTTACAGAGGAGTTGGTTCACCAATCCTCACTGATTTAACGGGCCTACTCAAGCTGAGACTTGCTATGCTAAGCAACAGGATATCAGTCAATGTAGCAGATAAAGATAAGTTCACTCATTAAAAAATTAGAATCAGCATGAACACTGAAGAGAAAGTATTTTTATAACTACCTTTAAAAGAATAACATGATAGGAAAAAATAAAGCACATAGTTAACCAAACTTTAAAAATTATGATGAATATGTGATCATGTCATGTTAATGCTTAAGTGAATGTGCTTTTTGAAGGAAGGAAGGAAGGAAGGTGCTATAACCTACTGGAAAACCCATTTGAACTTATATTTGCAGTTTTCCTTCTCAGATTCTACAAATTCCTTCTCTCATTGCCACAATTCATTGTGATTTCAATTCACCTGCCACAAAAGACTCAGGACCCTCAGCAGGGTCATTTTCCCCTGATGTCATAGTCCATATACTGTATATGTTAAATCTGATAATATGGAGTGTCCATTGTGTTTTACCTTAATTTCATTTACACAACTACACATGCATTCCCCCATTCCCTTCCTGCACAGTCTATGGAGAAAGTTGGAAACAATGAGTGTACAACGGTGGTTAACATAATTAAAATATATTATTTAAAGCTAAGAACAATGAGTATAGGGGCACCTTACATCATTGAAAGACAATATTTAAAGTTGAAACAATGAGTATAAAGAGGCAGCTTACGTTGCTGAGAAACAATATTAAAGCTAAAACAACAAGTATATACAAATATTTAAAAGGAGCAAATAAGTACCACTCTGAGATATGATAAACACAAGTACTGTGTTTCCCCCAAAATAAGACAGGGTGGTATATTAATTTTTGCTCCAAAAAAAATATTAGGGCTTATTTTCAGGTTAGGTCTTATTTTCAGGGAAACAGGGTAATACTAAAGACCCAGTTGGAGCAGTAATGCATAACAATCCATCTAAAAGTCACCCTCTTGTATTCAGTCCCCGAGGGAAAGCCTGCCTGAAAAGAAAGGTCTTTGCCTGTTTGCAGAAGGATGGGGCCAGTCTGGCCTCCTGTGGGAGGGAGTTCCAAAGTCTGAGAGCAGCTACAGAGAAGGCCCTCTCTTATGTCTCCATCAGATGCACCTGAGAAGGTGATCAGACCAAGAGAAAGGCCTCTCCTGGTGATCTTAACACCCAGGCCAGCTCATAATGGGATAATCAGTCTTTGAGATAGGTTGGCTCCAGGCCTTTTAAGGCTTTATAGCTTAAAACCAGCATTCGAATTGTGCCCAGAAACTGATCAGCAGCCAGTGAAGCTGCTGTAACATAGGGGTTATGTGATCCCTGTAACCTGTCCTAGTTAACAATCTGGCTGCTGCATTTTGGACCCACCGAAGTACTGTATTCTAGATTCCCTGTATCATTCTTTTCCATTTCCTGGTGGTCTCCAATGAAATACTAACCAAACCAGACTTTGCTTACCTTCCCCCAAAACAAATAATATTGATGGGTTTAGGGTGGTACAATTCCATTGCCACCAAAGAGGCCAAATAGTTAAGACTGAGACTGAAACAGAAAGGGTATAATTTGCACAATCTTGCAGATGGGTAAAATAACAGATCAACACACGCTTGCTACTGTAGGATTGGAGTTGAACGCCATTTTCCTAGGGTCCTTCATAATCATAGCAAGTGAAATTGAACCAGAACTTAGCATTCAGTCAATGCTTATCATCCAATAATTTATAGCATTGTTGTATTATTAAACTCTGCTTCAGGGAAGACATGATATGAAAATAGAAGTACCAGAACACATTCACGGGTGTCAGCTGCAACAGATCAGCACTGAAAATAGAGGAACAGTTTGGAACAAAGACAAAAACCATCTGGAATTTCTTACTTTGCTCAAGGTTGAGGATGGAGTTGTGAGCTGGGAGATCTTTATCACTGCTAACAGTTCTTAGTCTAAGGTTTTGTTTGAAGGATTATGTGATATCAATGTCCCCTTTTCTAACTGAAGCTCCGGAATGGAAGGCATATCAGAATTTGGCATATCAGTAACACACTTCAGGCAGTAGGAGAATAACAATTTGGAACTTCAGGGAGAAGAATACTGTAGTGTGATACGTACCGAGTGGCATGATAAGGAGCCTCGTGTTGCAGTTTTTAAACCGCTGTATTGCAGCTAAAACTGTGCTCGTGACCTGGGGTTCAATCCCAGGTTAGCCAGCTCAGGGTTCGATAGCCAGCTCAGGGTTCACTCAGCCTTCTATACTTCCGAAGTCGGTAAAATCAGTACCCAGCTTGCTGGGGACGCAATGTGTAGCCTGCATAATTAACTTGTAAACCCCCCCAGAGAGTGCTTGAAGTGCTATGGGGTGGTATATAAGCAGCACGCTTTGCTTTGCTTTGATAGTTAAGGGTAAAGCACTCTGAACTATGGAGGATCCTTCTAGGAATCTAATGCAGGGTTAGCAGTGGTTCTGCTTGCTCTAGGGAGAGACAATTTGCTTCCAGGATGTTCACCTTGTATTTTTGTAAATAAAAGAATGGTTGCAAGGTAACATTAGTTTTCCAGTTGGTTCCCCCCCCCTTTTAATTGTGACTCACTGTTCTTTCTTCTTGAGCTTTCAGCCACTGTGGAAGTGTGCTGGCATGTCTATTTCTGTAATGTCTCTGCAGTAGAAATGAATAATATAACCATGTTATAAATTGGTGGGCAACAGGTGTTGACTTGAATGCTAAGTGCTAGGACAGCTTAACTTCCAAGTATTGGGAAGGATTCTAGGAAGACTGCTTTGGACTCTGCCAACTCCAAACCTACCTGCTGAGGAAGGACATGAGGATCTGACATTTCTCCCACTCATGCACAGGAGACAAAGGCCTATAATGGTGCCCCTGAACTTCTTCTTAACATGTGGATGAGTGGGAAATGGAAGAAGATAGAAATCAGTGAACTGAGAAAAAGAAAGAAAAAGTCAACTATGTGATCTATGCCTGTCAACTGTACGGAGGGCAAGCAGGACAACCTCTGGATAACAGGATTAATGGACATGAATTGGACGTCAGAAATTGCAACACACAAAAACAAATTTCAGACTGTTTCAGTCTATCTGGACACTCTTTAAGACGTAGCCTGAAAGAGATTGTTTTAGGGGGAAAAAACAGCTTACAGATCAAAACTTAAAAAGGACACAGCTAAAGTGAGTAAGGTATATATGGATGCTGGAGACTCACTTAAAAGACTGAATATCAATCAAAGGACCTTAAGTTATTATGTCACATTGATTCCCTGTCTGCCACTTGTCTCAGCTGTGCTATTGTTACCTTGTAGACTGATAACTTAAATTATTCATAGGCTGATAGCTTATTCTATTATTAACGTACCATTGTCATTTTGTTCGTTATCTGTCTCCCCAGCTGTTTGTGTGGTGTGCATAAATATGACAGTCATATAGTCTCAGTCTTATACCTGAAGAAGTGGACTTGATCCATGAAACCACACATTAAAATATAGCAGTTAGTCTTTAAGGTGACACGATATTGTGCCCACTATATTTTTGTTTTGTCTAATATGCTTGCACAGATTAACACGGCTACTTCTTTGAAAACACCCTCTGCCATCGTTGATGCTATGAAAATCCAGCAGTGCAATAGGAGCTGGAAGAGAGTAAGCTTTTTTCTTTAAAAAAAAAAATCTAAACTTTGCTCTAAAACAGTGGTTCCCAACCTTGGGTCCCCAGATATTTTTCAACTAAAACTCCCACAAGCCTTCACCACTTGCTATCCTGGCCAGGGCATCTGGGAATTGAAGTCCCAGAACAGGTGGAGGCCCAAGGTTAGGAAGGCACAGAAGTGCTGCTATGCACCTTGTTCTACCTGAGAGTCATGCTTCCCTGGGAATTATAGGATTGTGATTCGCCAGTGAACCAATGCTGTGAGTAAAAATGTGTGTGAGAATTTTGCAGTGTTTTTTCAGGGCCTCTGAAATACAGCAGCAATAGCAGCAGCAATGATGGTGATATTGTGGTGTTATAAAGTTGACAGTGACCTAACAGCCATCATCCCATTGTCTTCTGGGTATAGCAGAACTGGAAGTGGCTTCCCAGGTCCTCCTTCTGGTAGTGCTCTGAGACAATGCACCTCGCCCACGGCTGCATGGGTATGGGGCTCGGAACCCCATCGGCTCCAGATAATCTCAGTGGATCCCTCTCCCAGGAGGCACAGTGAGGATTCAGACTCCCAGCCAGTGGTTCCTGCTTCCTCCCATTGAGCCAGACCAGACCACACAGTAGCAGGGCACATATGCCTCACATGGTACCCAAACCCCCTGCAGTGAGCACTAGACAGTATCTGCCAAGAGGCTCCTGCTGTCTCTCCCTGTGCAGTCCACTTTTGTACCCGGCTCTTGGTGACTGGCTCCCCCTGGAGGAAAACATGCACCATTGCTGAGAAGTGTTGTGCAGCTCCTATGATCATTTCAGAGCTACATTCCTTTGAATGAGAGCTGCTTCCAGATACTGTATTTTTTTTCATTTAAAATGCATACATCAAGCTATGTTCTGCAGGCTGTGCAGTTCTTTGGTTTGGAATTTATTCCGACCATGTTTGAACAGATACCTTACGCAGCAAAAAGCTCCCTGTGCGTTCCAGTTTTACACAGTTCCCCCATATTCAGAAAGAGGGGCAAGGTGAATTTGAATTGCTGAGTTCTTTCTTTTCTAAGTAGAGTGTAATCCTATTGGACTAACAAAATCATGTACCTTTTAAAATGTACTAGATTGGAAAATTGTGTAAAGGTGTGCGCACTTTGATGTCTTGGAGTGGAAGCAGCCCACGTTCTCCTGTCCCTTGAGGCAGGAAACAAACCATCTTTCCCCCATTGCTACCTTACCCTGCACGCACACCCCAACACTGCTGGCCTCTGCAACTGTGCAGCTAGTGGTTTGCCCCATCCCAGAGAGGCAGGCATCCAATCAGTGGGGTGGAGTGGGGAAAACCAGTGGCAAGAGGGGGTCTACCTCCTTATCCTTCCCTGTATGCCATTGGAGGAAGAAATAGGCATCCTGGTGCAGCGATGCACTCTGTTAAGAGCAGGCTATTTGTACATGCCTGGTTCTGTGGGCTCCTTAAAGCCAAGGTATGATGGGAGGGGGGTGTCCAGCAAAAACACCTCTACAGAACAGACCCTCATGTGTTGGTGGTGGGCAGAGGGAGAGGAGTGCATTTTCCATCCCCAGCACTTCTCTGCCTGGGGTAGGACTGTAGACAGTGACATCAAAGGACAACAAAACACAGATAAGAGAGACAGAGATGGCCTTATTCATAGTTTACAGTTATTTATAGTGCCTTGCCCTGGGACCATATGGCAGCCTTCTTAAACCTGGTGTCCTTCAGAAGGGGATGGAGGCTGAATGGAGTTGTAGTTTAGCACACTGGGGAGTGATATAGAGCAGTGGTCCCCAACCTTGGGCCTCTAGATGTTCTTGGACTTCAACTCCCAGAAATCCTGGCCAGCAGAGATGGTGATCAAGGCTTCTGGGAGTTGTAGTCCAATAACATCTTGAAGGCCCAAGGTTGGGGACCACTGCTGTAGAGGACAGGGAATTTTAATGGGAGTTGTATACCAAAAGATGTGTCTCCGTTCACTCACAGGCATGATTTTGATGCTGCAGGACCCGAAGGAACAACAACCAAAAAGTGCTAAATAATAAGTTTAAAAGGAAAGGTAATCTGGCTGTCAAGAGATAATTGAGTTGTTGTTGTTTCCAAATCTAGATTTATGATAGAAGAAGTCTCCAATAATGATTAAGCATTCCATTCATACTCTTTGAAATATTTTAACAGGTTGTTTCTTTCAAACAAGAGTAAAGTCAGACCACTAACTGCATGGTAACTCTTTGGAATTAGCAATAAATAACTGAATAGACACTATGTTGTAGCCTTGTATATTATGCCTGTTTAATGCTGCTCATTGATGGAATTGATATCTTGCAATTGAAAGACATCCACCCACTCATTCACACTTTTTTCAGCTACAGTATTTTATCCATTTGCTCTGTAGCATTTCTAGATAATCTTTCCCCTATCCATGAAATTGTTTTCATTTATCCTTAGAGCAACCCAGTAAAGTGAGGCTGAATCTCTTGTTAGCTGACCAGGGCAGCTTTATAACTTTTAAATGTGCTCATAAAATGCAATGTGTATATGTGACAAACATGGATTACAAGTGAACCAGATAGGTGAAACTGCAATGTACTGATGCACCAAGTATGTTTGGAAACTTGAATATTCAATTTCCCAGAAAGACAGCACTGTCCTCTGAGGAGAGACAGAAAGAAGACAGTTTTTAAAGACTACAACAATTCCCTAGCTGACCTGATCACTGTTTGAGGAGCTGTAGTCCTAAACAATAAGATGTGCATTTTAAGAGGATGTACGGCATAGTCAGCTGTCTAAGAAAGCCATGTCTTAGTTGTTACTCCCAATGTCTATTCAGAGCACAAAAGACATGCATCTGTTGCAGTGTTAACCCTTGAAATAGATGAGAACTTGGGCTGCCTCTAACCAAAACAAGATGCCACATAAACACCAGTTTAAACGTCCCGTTGCCACTGACTACTTGCCTGAAGTGAGTATGGATTCTGTCAAGGTGAGGAGTCTGCCTGCTTTGCTGTTCAAACCTCCCTCTGGCAAAAAGGTGGAAGCCCACAAACCTGAGGTGAATTTGTACATTGTTGCCTGCTGATTCAACCATTTGTCCCTCTGGGTACATCCTCTCAAGGTGCATGCCTTACCTTGCACGATTCCCTGGTTGCCCTCTTTTAGATCGTCCATGATGGAATTTGCTCTTTCTCTTGTTCTCTCTGAAGGGAAGCCTGCTGTGTGAGCCCCAGCTGGGCTGGTATAACTTAGCCCAACCTGTAGCATCTCGCGCTCTTGCTCAAAAGACCTGGCTCACTGGGCTAGAAAAGGCCTCCTCTTTAGCTAGCACCTCCCTGATATTTGGTGTAAACAGTAGTAAAAAACGGTTTTGCCACCTACTGCTGCTCCTCCATGCCTGGCTTTATGTCTCTCAGAGAAGCAGGATGTCCAAAAACAAGATACTGATCAAATATCAACAGGGTCATGAAATATGTTTTGTTTGTTTTCCCAAGGGTAAATTTTATTTTTTTTCCAGCACACCCCTTGCAACGTCACAAGGACCCCTGTGTACACAGAAGAGGAAGGAGTGACTATACTGTACGGAGATAGAGGTGGCATGTATGTATGTTTGTGTGTGTGTCTGGATGTATGTCCTTTTGATGTTTAAATGTCCTTGAACTAATAGAACATAAACACAGAGCTTGGCTCTCAAACTGCTTCCTACTGGTTCTTCTGTTTCTGCTTGAAGACAAAAATAGAATCATGTGAACATTGAATGCCAAGTCTTTAAATAGTGAAGCCATGAGTTTCAGAGTGTATCAAAACAAAGAGGTGTGCTGCTGAAACATACTACAAAGCTAGACTGGGGAGAGCATTCACTTAACATTGAACACGGTGTATTGAGTAATTTTTTCCAGATGTATGTCAGCAATTTCTTAACCAATTTGTTTATGGCTCTTAGTTGAGCTTTGTCTAAAGCAGTAAAGCAATTGCTAAATAAGCTGAAACATTTGTATCAGGACAGAATGTAGGGTGTCGGTTTGATTTTTACATTACTGCTGTTGGCAGTAAGCAGCAAAACAGTTTTTACTACTTGTCTCTCATTTCCCTAGCAGAAATGCCTTGTGAAGTCTGGAAGCTTGCATTCTAATGGAATGATTCCAGCTGAATCGTGCAAAACTGAATTGTTGGGAACCCCAGACATGACGAGGGCCCATACTGTAAAAATATATCTGCTATAATGGAATGAATCTTAGGCAAGAAATAATTTTGGTTCCCACCCTCTGTGAATGTAATTTGGTTTTCAAGACAAAGGCGGTATGCATTTTGCTCAAGTGGTTTTGGATCGATCCCTTAGGTGCCGATCCAAATGGAATGTCTAGCTCTGCCATAGACAGTCACCCAGATCTTCTACTTCTCTTTCAAAGCACAATATGACATCCCTTCTCCAAAACATTCTCCAGACATTCATTCCCAGCCCTCCAGGATTGCCCCAGGACTGCTCCCTGATCAGAAGAACACAACCTAGTATATCCCTGTGCTTTTAATAGCAGCTTGACACACAGAAAATCAGCAGGTGAAACTTCATAACCTTGAGATAATCTTTATTATCCACTAACAACTATAGATGGACAGTGTCATCGAAGCTACCAACATGAATTTGACCCAACTCTGGGAGGCAGTGGAAGACAGGAGGGCCTGGTGTGCTCTGGTCCATGGGGTCACGAAGAGTTGACATGACTAAATGACTAAACAATAAGAACAACAAACAACTATAGATAAACCTGTGAAAAGCAGAGGAGCATAGGATTCTTTAAAAAAGTTGGTTCTTTCATTCTTTCATTCTTTCTTTCATTCTTTCATTCTTTCTTTCATTCTTTCATTCTTTCATTCTTTCATTCATTCTTTCTTTCATTCTTTCATTCTTTCTTTCATTCTTTCATTCTTTCTTTCATTCTTTCATTCTTTCTTTCATTCTTTCATTCTTTCTTTCATTCTTTCATTCTTTCTTTCATTCTTTCATTCTTTCTTTCATTCTTTCATTCTTTCTTTCATTCTTTCATTCTTTCTTTCATTCTTTCATTCTTTCTTTCATTCTTTCATTCTTTCTTTCATTCTTTCATTCTTTCTTTCATTCTTTCATTCTTTCTTTCATTCTTTCATTCTTTCTTTCATTCTTTCATTCTTTCTTTCATTCTTTCATTCTTTCTTTCATTCTTTCATTCTTTCTTTCATTCTTTCATTCTTTCTTTCATTCTTTCATTCTTTCTTTCATTCTTTCATTCTTTCTTTCATTCTTTCATTCTTTCTTTCATTCTTTCATTCTTTCTTTCATTCTTTCATTCTTTCTTTCATTCTTTCATTCTTTCTTTCATTCTTTCATTCTTTCTTTCATTCTTTCATTCTTTCTTTCATTCTTTCATTCTTTCTTTCATTCTTTCATTCTTTCTTTCATTCTTTCATTCTTTCTTTCATTCTTTCATTCTTTCTTTCATTCTTTCATTCTTTCTTTCATTCTTTCATTCTTTCTTTCATTCTTTCATTCTTTCTTTCATTCTTTCATTCTTTCTTTCATTCTTTCATTCTTTCTTTCATTCTTTCATTCTTTCTTTCATTCTTTCATTCTTTCTTTCATTCTTTCATTCTTTCATTCTTTCATTCATTAATTCATTCATTAATTAATTAATTAATTAATTCATTCTTTCTTTCTTTCTTTCTTTCTTTCTTTCTTTCTTTCTTTCTTTCTTTCTTTCTTTCTTTCTTTCTTTCTTTCTTTCAGGATTTGCCTGAAATAGTCAAATTACTTTTTTCTCAGTTTTGTTTGTCAGTTCAGCCTCTCCCTGGTTTTGCATCAGGAAGGCATGTGCAACTTGATGTGGCCGTTTGCTTACTCTTGAGTAATGCTGTTCAAGTGTACACAGAGGGGTAAAACAAATCTATTATTTCCCCTCTCTTCCCAACATGCACCAATACCTAAGCACTTCCAGTTGCACTGTTCCGGACAAATCAGAGCAAGCCAAATGGCGGTGGATATAAAGGTACTAATTAAAGAACTGTGAGCCAGGGATCACTCTTTCATGAGATTTTAATGGGAAGGAAATGAAATATGCAGAGGCCCCATTCCCTCCAGATGAGGAAGGCAGCTGAACATAATGAATGTTTCATGATGGCTTCATGTCAAATGTGCAAAGAGAAAAGGCTTGAGCCCACCATCCTCTTAATCCCATTTGCTGCAGGATTCAGAACAACTGAAGAAGGAACAGTAAACTTTGAGGCACAGTCAGCTGAGACCAGTCCTATTACAGCAGAGTGTACAGATCAGCTCCCACCCACCATACCTGGCAAATGTTGGCTTACAGCACCCATCATCCCTCTCCAGAATGCTCACTGGCTGATGGGAACTGAATTATTCCTTTGTGAGTTACAACCCCATATATCTGATAGGCATGAGATTTGTGAATCCCTGTAATACAGGGGTTGGAGAACATATGACTCTCCAAAAGCTGTTTATTTAAAATTCAACCCCAGCCAGGGTAGTTAATGGTGAGGGATGACAAGAGTTGTCATCAACAGGACCTGCACCAGCAAACTCACTTCTAGAAAGAATGCATACACTGACAAACTGAAGTCATCCAGAATCCAGCAGTAGTAGGACAGTTCTCTGGAAACCAGGGCATCCTCCTACCTCAATTCTGGATGGTTTTGGCATATTGTTTTAGTGTTTCTTTTCAAAAACAACTTTCCAAACAATGAGCCACCCTTGCCATAATGAATGATGTTGCCACCAGCACAACAATCAGTTAATCAGCGATCTGTGGTTTACATGTCCTTATTCGTGGCGTTTAGAAGAAGAGCGTCCGGGTAGAACCACTCCTAACATTTGATGAGGTGACCTGAAAAGATCCCAGAGCTGAGCTTGGGTTTTAACTGGAGACTTCAAGCAAATAGCTGATTTTTTATTTGTTATTTTTTGGCCACTGGGCCAGCCTTCAATCAATCTAATATGCCACCTTAATAAGGTTATGACTATGTGATTATAGTAGGGTACAGTATTTAAAACAGGGGTGGGCAGGCTTCTGGCATCCACTTTAGTTTACTAGACTCTCAAGATGATCCACCAGGCAAAGCCTAGTGAAAGGGACATATTCCTTGGATCAAAGAATGCTGAGTGCAGGAATTTGTTATAAGCACCAGAACGAAACATAATTCATATGTCACAAAAGGGTTACTACTAGATCTTTGTATCCCAGGAAGAACAATATTAAACAGCAAAGGACCTCTCAAGACACATTAATAAATGCAAAATGAATATACTTTATTACCTATTGATTACAATTCTAATAAAAGGAGTTTCATACATTCAACACATTTACACCACATAAACACTCACCAAAGAGAGAAGAATTATTCATTTGCATTGTCCAAGTACAAAAAAAAGAGTAGTCAGTTCCAAAAGCCTTTTGGTTTCAGCAGACAAATTATGGTTGCCCAGACCCCTCTTTTTATATTCTTTTTGGGCAGGTGACTAGCTGAGCATGCGCATTAGATGTTTCTTTGTTTCCCCCTAGATATATGGTCCTTATCACATATTGTGAAGTATGGAATGCACTTAGTGGGTCTTTCATCACTTAGTGGACAGGTGTGGAATCTGCTTGCTCAGGAGGATCCTCGTACCAGGGTCTTCTTATTCCCCGGGTTTGCTCTACTCCCTCAATTAGCAGCAGATGGTTTCTGTCAATTTACTGAAAGCATAGTTCAAAATGCTCACAGTTCAATCATTGAATTTCTTACTATGAGGGCTTACAGCCAGAAATACAAAGTCCCATAGTTCTTCAGGTTCTATTAGTCTCCATCCTTGTGTCTTCGCTCTCTCTCTGGTTCCTCAACTTTTCCAGGCCAAACATGCACACACCTTACACATAGTTCTTTCACACAAAATCCACTCCTGCTTCTTCCAAACTTGCTTTGTTTAACTAAATTCCAATTTTTATGATGACAATTACAATTTAGAATGTGAGGAAAGAGGGACACAGTCACAGTTGCTGCTATTTCAAGTGTCAGAAATCCTTGCCTACCCACAGCAAGTCAGCCGAAGCTTTGCCATCTGTCTATCTCTGATTTAGAACACTGGATCCACTCTACCATAGATCTCACTTGGTGATCTGCCTTTAGATCAGAAGTTCTCTGTTTCAGCTGAACCAACTTCAAGGAAATATTCTAAGGATAAAGGAATACTTGGTGCCTTAGAGGAAGGCCCAAAACCAAATTGATGGAGAATCATGCTCATTGTGGGGCAATTAGGTGACCCTCAGATCCAATTTTTAAATTGAAAAAACATGGGCAAGAAGATTGATATGTTTTGAAGCAAGATGTAAATCACAGATATGAGATCACCATGATGGTTGATATCTCTGTTTTTACTTCCAAATGAGCAAACCCTTGCTGTGGATTCATCTGTTTCTCTTATCCCATGAAGCTTAATGAATGACCGGCTCTTTGTTTACAAAGAAACAATAATTCTGCTGTATAGAAATTACCTTGGAGGGAGATATAAAGGGGAAAAAAATATGAATTGTTTTCCAATCCCAGGAGGCGAGTGCCAAGGAAAAACATTGGGGAATCATAACAAGGAGAATCAGGCAGTTGAGAAATGGCTTCTTGCCAGAGCTGGCAAAAGGACTATGATCATCTTCCCTGTTATGAGAACAAGAGAATTTTGATATCAGTCTCCTGTAACAACATCCCGAATTTCTCTCTGTGGATAATTACTGTTTATGAATACACAGAAGAATAACGATATATCTGTCATGAGAGCAATGCATCTGACAGACAAGCTGGTAGAAGCACATGGAGCAAGTTGGGACAGTGGATTGCTCTGCTGGCCTTCGGTTCTCACAACAGAAGTTTCTCCTCTGAACTCTTTACCTATCAGCCCAGCTAACTTGCTCAGTGGTAAGGCACAATGAGAACACTAGTTCAATAGTATCTGAAGGGCTGTGCTCAACCCAAGCCCATTAAGCTTAGCTTGCCCTATGATATAGATCAGGGCAGAAGAAGCTGGTACCCTGCAATGGTCTCCACTGCCCAGTAGCCTAGGATGATGAGAGAACTAGTTAATACTAAACAACTGGCGCCCACCCTTTCCCACCCAGATATAGGTGTATTATTGGACTAGGTACAGTATTAGGCCTGCAATAGGGTGGAAGCTCCCCTGGGCCCTTTCTTGATGCAAACGAGAGGGCAAGGTTTGCTTAGATCATGGCAAGGAGAGTGGAAGATTGAGCTCTCCCTCCCCAGCAACTGTGGGTCCTCTTCTAGGATACCTGCAGCTGCTATTTTTTGGCATTTAAAACCCCAGTCATGTTAAATCCAAGAATACAATTAATGCCACATGTCATTTGGACTTGAGCATAAAACTTTCTGTACACTCTGAAGTGACACAGACTGGATGATTTCTAAAATAATGAAAGCTCCTTGCTCTTAATTATGTGATTTTTTTTCTTTTCAGCTCAAAAGAAGAAATTAAAATCCAGGCACATGCCTGAATGAGGGTGAAGAAAATTACCTCTTTGGGGCACCAGTACTTTTCCACAGGAAATGAGCAAAGGGATAGGAATGTAGCAAGAATGAGAAAAGGGCTAGAAGTTGCAGCATATCCTGCCCTTCTTTAAACAATGTTGCTCATCAAGACATGACCTATTGCTTTCAAGCACTAGAGAAAACATCCTATTAATGATTATTAATACTGTATCTTGACTGCCAGTTTGGGAGATTGCTTGTACTTAAACAGTCAACTGTGATCTGCCTGATATGATCACAAGGAAGCAGGTTTGCATTAGGTAGGTGAAAGAGCTCCAGGTACAAAGAGGATTTGGAGGCCCTGATTAACAGGCATTCATAAGAACATAGGAAGTGCCCTGCTGGATCAGGCCAAGGGCCCATCTAGTCCAGCTTCCTGTATCTCATAGTGGCCCCTCTAGATGCATTTATGCTTATGGAATATTGTTCTCTGCTTAGTAATTACTAACAAGTCTATATCCATCTGCTGAAAGGAGTCTGTGTCCTACTGTAAGGAAGGAGAACATGTGCACAACAAGAACCCTTTCCAATGTACATGTTCCTATATGACCTACAATGGCAACTTTTCTGAGCCTGGCATAATTCAGATGGGTTGGATTACAACTCTCACCGTGCTCAGCCAGCTTGGTCAATGTGGATGGTAGGAGCTGTAGTTCATCCTGTCAGGAAGGCATCAGGTTGGGGAACATTGTCTCATGCTTTGCCTGCTGGGAGAAAAGGTCATGAAGTTAATCATTTCTGCAATTGATGGCTGCTCACTGTGTATGTGGAAAGCCTTGTTGACCAAGATCATTTTCTCCATTTTTATCCTAGCCTTCTTGAAAGGTTAGCACATATAATCCCTTTTCACCTTTGCAGCAGCCTTTTGATGTTCGATAGACATACAGCCCAGGTTGTATTCATTCATTCATTCCTTTCCTTCCTTCCTTCCTTCCTTCCTTCCTTCCTTCCTTCCTTCC